GTGTTCTGGGTTAATTGGAGTATAGCCAATTAACAGTGTCGTGATAGTTTCTAGTGAACAGCCCCGGGACTCAGCCATACACATACATGTATCCGTTCTCCCCCGAACTCTCTTCCCATCCAGGCTGCCACATCACATTGAGCAGAGTTCCATATGCTGATGTTGTTCAGTCGCTCAGTCGTTGTCTGACTCTTTGCTCCCTCACAGACTGCAGCACCCAGGCTTCCCTATCCTTCCCTGTCTCCTGGAGTTTGCGCAGATTCGTGTCCATTGAGTTGATGATGCCATCCAAGGAGCAGAGTTCTGTTTGCTCTAAGGCAGGACTTGGAAGTTTTTAACAAGGTGATCTTACCATGTGATCTGTCTCAGACATCTAAGTTGAACTGCCTTTTCTGTCTTGTAGCTCAGGCCTAGCTTCTGCCCCCCAGGCCCGTTCTGTAGCCCTTGATCTGCTTCTGCTTCAGGAGCGTGTCAGTGGGCCAGGCTCAGGGGGCAGAGGAGGTGAGGGTGGGGGGAGTGGATGGGGTGGAGGACTGGAGGGCTGGCTCAGCGCCGGGGCACCACCGCAGGTAGGAGGCCAGCCAGACCCTTTGGGTCTCCAGGAGAGTGACCCTGAACGTCAGAGCAAAAGTGCTATCATTGTTATCACTCAAGTTTCCGGCTCTTCTGTGTCTTTTTAAGTTTTGTTTTCAGGTTTGTTTTTTTCTTTTTGGTTTCCTGTTTGAATTATTTCAGTTTTGGTACATTTTAGCGAACGGAAAAAAAAAATTCTAACTAGAATTTTACCACAGGAGAAAAAACAGGAGCTTTTAATTTTTTCAGTCGCAGTCAGTGGTCTTGTCGGTCACAGGTGGGATGCCAGTGTCAAGATGGCCACACTCTGGGCTGCAGGAGGCTCTGGCGTCGTCACCCAAGGAGATCGCAGCTCCTTGGGTGTTCCTTCCGGGCGTGTGGGTGTGACTGTGTGTGTGGTGGTGGGGGATGGGGTCTCTGCAGGTGGTAATGCTGGGGATGGGGTTGTGGGGAATGTGTGAGACCTACTTCACCCACTTTCCAGCATCACAGAAATGCCCTGTGCTTTATACATTACCTCATTTTCAGCCACCACCCAGGTGGTCCAGCCCAAAAGTGTTAAAAAGAAATCTCATTTTTATCTCCTGATGAGCCTTAAAAAGGATCAGATCTGTATTTCCTGTCAGCGCTTTTCTTCACTGCCAGAACCCCTGCCCCCACCGCCCAGTTCCCCTTGTTTCTGACCCTCATTCTCCCTCCTCTGTTGAATATGTTGAAAGACTGACTCCCTGATAGTGGAACTTCTTTTCCAGTTAGTCCAGGGGGGCTCCCCCCAAGGCCAGCTCGTTTGGGAGGGTGCCAGGTAGTGGAGGGGAAGTGGGGCGGGCGGGTGCTGACTTCCGTCTGTCTGGCTGGCCCAGGGGGATCCCAGGAAGAGTCTGACGTGGAAGATCTTATCCCCTCTCAGCTGGTTTTGGGGAAATGAGATCTGACTCACAAGACCATCAAAGTAGTGATCATGATAGTCTTCTGCTTGGCACCTCACTTGTGGTGTTCTCCTCTGTATCTGTTGTTTGGAGTTGTAATCCTGTTACAGGTGAATTTTTTTTAAGATTTTTAAAGAGTCTAGATTCCATTTGCTGTGGCAGAGCTGATTATGGGTCCACTCAGCTCCGTCCTTCAGAGGTGGGTAGGGGAGCAATACGGCGTGCAGCTTGACCTTGCCCAGGTTTGGATTCCAGCTCTGCGGGTTATTTAATCTTTCTCACCCTCGAAGTGTCCTCAGATGATAAAATAATAATGAGCATGGGCTGGGTACATCCTGTGCGCCTGACTGAGAGCTCAGTATTTCCTTCAACCATCCAGCAGCTCCAAGAGGGGGCTCCATGCTGCCAGGGTAACGGTAACAGCGCTCCCTGCATCCTGGCACTGGGGGGTCCTGCCCTCCCTCCCTCCCACAATTAAGGGACAGACACTTGGGGGCATGGAACCCCCCACCCTGTGTACAACAGGACCAGGGCAGGAGCAAATGAGACAGTTCCTAGAAAACACTTGCCAAAGAGTCTGGCACAAAGCTCAAATTGTAGCTCTTTTAATTAATTTAATTAAAAATCATACTTTTTCCTACTAAAACACTGTGTTTCCTCTCCTTTGACTGAGAAGCCGCACTCCTGATAATGTTTGCATATGAAGTTGTCTGAACACCTCCTGTCGTCTCTGAGCTGCAGGCCTGAGTCCTGCTGGTACCACCAGTGCCCATGGTCCACTCCCTGGTCCTTCATGGTCTGAGTTATTGACCAACACCTGTGGGTATCCTGGGCCGAGTGAATACAAGGACTTTAGGCTGCGGTTCCCATTTTTCCCGAAAAGGGACTGTTTAGCCCTCCCATGATTTTTCTGATAAGTTGATCAGATCGCCCTTTCTCCAAGTTTGGAGGTGGGGTTTAATTTTGAGGTTTAGGGCAGGAGGCTAGGGAAGTCCATGTGTGTATGTGTGGGTGTGGGTGTGAGAAGACCGTAGTCTGTGGTGGGTCCCCATGGAGCCCCTGGCAGCTGCTGAGAGGGCTCAGGCTCAGGAGGAGCTCCCATTTCAGGGGTCTCAAATCGAACACCCCAAGGGGCTGGGCAGTACCTTTTAAGAATGCAGTATGTTGGTTGGAAGCTGTGACCAGTGAGAGCTGTGCCCCATGAAGGCCCCGGCCCAGGGCCTGCAAGCCCTCCATGTCCACAGAAAACCAGGATGACCCAGTGGGATGTAGGCAGATGCTCTTCAGGGGTCCCCAACCTCCAGGATATAATGCCTGAGGATCTGAGGTGGCGCTGATGTAATAACAGAAATACAGTGCACAGTAAATATAATGTGCTTGAGTCATCTCCAAACCACTCCCCCTCCCCAGTCCATGGAAGAAAATTCTTCCATGAAACCTGGTGCCATAAAGGTTGGGTACCGCTGCTCTAAAAGGCTCCTCATGGAAGAAGAAAGGTGACTGTGTTACCGTGAGAAAAGCATCACCATTCCTGGGCTTTAGGGAGGCACGTGCATCTGGTGGGAGTGTTAACCGACAGTTTGCTTGGGGAGGCATTCTGGCAACATCTGTCACAGCTGGAAGTGTGCACACTTCTGGACCCAGAGTTCCCTCTTCTAGAAGTTATCCTAAAAGACACCATGAGTCCACAGGACTGGTGGAGTGGAATGTTTGTAAGAGTGAAAAATGTGGAAACAATCCAAACGTTCATCAACAAGTCAGTGACTATGTGCACATATGATGATCTGTCTTTATACTGTGATGTTATACCTCCTTTCAGAGGAATACCGTAGAGTTTTTAGTAAAAATCTTACCTTATAGATTTAAATGCATTACACCTTACATTTTAAACAATTCATTAAAATTTTTCATAAATGTCTGCTGCCGCTGCTGCTTAGTCACTTCAGTCGTTTCCAGCTCTGCAGCCCCACAGACGGCAGCCCACCAGGCTCCCCCGTCCCTGGGAGTCTCCAGGAAAGAACACTGGAGTGGGTTGCCATTTCCTTCTCCAGTGCATGAAAGTGAAAAGTGAAAGTGAAGTCGCTTAGCCGTGTCCGACTCTTAGAGACCCCATGGACTGCAGCCCACCAGCCTCCTCTGTCCATGGGATTTTCCAGGCAAGAGTACTGGGGTGGGGTGCCGTTGCCTTCTCTGTGTCATAAATGTCTACGAAAGAGTAAATACATAATTAACAGCTAATCAATTGTTCTGAACAGATATGCACCTGCTCTTGAAAATGTATTTGTCCATAGTTTTGTAAGATGTTAGCCTGGGGGAAACATCTTAAAGGGTACGTGAGGTACCCTTTCTTTATTGAGAGTATATATATTTCCTTCTAGAGAATGTATATCAACTTTATTGCTTATGATTAAAATTGTAAATTCCAAATCCATGAGGCTTTGACTCCAGTTAATCATTGGACTTTTTTTGCTAAGGGAGGAAACTGTTTCACAATGAACCCCAGGAGGTTTGGCGACCATTCAAAAGTTCTCTTCCTCATTTGTGTTTCGGCATTTTACATCTTTGAACATAATACAATTAGGAATCTGTTGCACATGGTAAAATATTGCAAGTTCCCAGTTTGAGCTCTCTGGGCCAATGAATTATCCCTCTGGTCACATGAGGAATCGTAGTGGACCCCGTAAACTGCACACCTAGGTCCACGCACGTCTCTTCTAAGTGGCCTCCTTTCTGGAAACGATGTCCCTCTCCGTGGCTGCAGTCTGAGGCTCGTCCTGTGCTCAGGTGATGCTCTGTGTCATGGCCCGTCATGACCGAGGAGTATCAGTGTGGGCGGGGGCGAGGGGGGGTGGCACGTGGCCTGAGGTCCCCGGGGTTAGGGCTGGGTGCTGAGCAGACCCCGTTGATCATTCTTGGATTTAACAGATCTTCTACACAGGGTGAGGTGCGCTGTTCTGATTCTTAACTAATTTCATTTCCTCTTTGTCCAGCAAGGGCAGTATTTTGACTCTCATTTTATAGTCAAGAGTCTAGGGTAAAGGAAGTGAGGGATCCCGCCATCACACAACTGAATAAGCAGGGGAAGACGGGTTTTATATTCAGCTCTGAGGGATTCTGAAACCCACGCTCTTTATGTTCCCTTTTCCTCTTGAATTTTGTAGGACAAACACATTCTTATGTATGACATTGATTATTCAGTATTTAGATTGAAATTTTAAATGCTCTAAAAATGTCTAAATCAATGATGACCTTTTACAGGTGTAATGATCCAGTGTATTTTCTTCCCCTTAAATAAAGCAGGCTTGTGTAATTGTACTTCATAATTTTTTTTATTGAAGTCTTGTTGATTTACAGTGTTAATTTCCGCTATACAGCAAAGTGACTCAGTTATACACATATATGCATTCTTTTCTGTATTCTTTTCCATTATGATTTATCCCAGGATGTTGAATACAGTTCCCTGTGTGCTACAGTAGTATTACTGTTATTACACTTTTGTAGGAAATGACCAAGTTCATTCCTGGACACTAGTCACCAGCCAAGCCTTAGATGCCGCGTGGAGAGTGGTGAAGGGGTCGGTGACCTTGGCAGTTTCATTTCTGGCGGCCATCCTCTGCTACTTCAGAAGGCTGCAGCTGTATTTAGGGCACCGGCTGAAATGGTATGTGGCTCTGTCATCTTTAAATTTCAAAAATGCCCTTGCTGTTCAAAATAGAACTTTGATGTTATTATTTCTGTTTATCTTTTAGGTGGATTGGATATCTGCAGAGAAGATTCAAAAGTAAATATGTTCATGCCTGTGTTTCCTTATTTTAAGAGAGGGTTCAAGAAGGGAAAAGGGAAGGGAAAATTCACCACCGTGTATTTTCGATTTGGTTCAGGGAACCTCAGCGTGGAGGCGGAAGTTGATTTACTCAGTTATTGTGCAAGAGAGTGGAAAGGAGAGACACCCCATGCCAAGCTGATGAGGAAGGTGTGTGTCTGTTTATTCAGGTCATGGTGGATGGAGAATTTTTGTGTAAAAATCAGGAAACCCGCATTCCACTGCTGCTGCTGCTGCTGTTAAGTCGCTGCTGCTGCTAAGTCGCTGCAGTCGTGTCCGACTCTGTGACCCCATAGACGGCAGCCCACCAGGCTCCTCTGTCCCTGGAATTCTCCAGGCAAGAACACTGGAGTGGGTTGCCATTTCCTTCTCCAATGCATGCATGCATGCTAAGTCGCTTCAGTCGTATCCGACTCTGTTCGACCCTATGAACTGCAGCCCACCAGGTTCCTCTGTCCACAGGATTCTCTAGGCAAGAATACTGGAGTGGGTTTCCATTTCCTTCTCCATGCATTCCACTATGCTTTACCAAATATGGAGCCAGGAACAACTGTGGCTGCAGTTAAAAGCCAAACAGCCACTAGGCATTACCTTCAGGCCTTTCACCTAGTGCTGGGGCCTTCGAGGACTTGGGTAAATTAGGCCTGTTATTTCAGCTCTCTCCTGGCCAGGGCTATTAAAAGCCCACCAGGGGGCTTCCCTGGTGGTCCAGTGGCTAAAGCTCCCAATGCGGGAGGCCTGGGTTCAATCCGAGGTCAGGGAACTAGATCCCATATGCCACAACTAAAGATCCCACATGCTGCAACTAAGAGCCGGCACAACCAAATAAATAAAGATATATTTTTAATCTGCACATGCATTGGAGACTTCTGTCCTTGAAGGGATCAGGCACATTGACATAAAATATTTGGAGGATTTTTTTAGACCAGACTTTCCATCAGACCAGTCTTGGTAAATATCCCCAGCTGTGTTGTCAACCTTGTCACTAGCAAAAGCCAAAAAAAGTCAAAAAGGAAAAAGAAGTAGTTTTCAATTACTCTTTAGCATGGACTTAAAAGTACATATAATAGTTTTCACTGCAGTCAAGTTGTAGCCATCCTCTCCCCACAATGACATTCCCTGACTCTTGGGCTTCCAGGAAGTTATCAACTAAATAGCATCACATGGACTCTGTACACACAGAAGTCACTTGAAAATTGCACGTGGTCTCATCCATAACCCATGCTGGTTCTGTTTCTGTTGCCCACTTTATTTGGGAGTAGCGCCTTGCTAAAGATGCCATGAATTAGCTTCCTTTAGTCTCTTGTCCAGTGGAATTAAGAACGGCTTTTTCCTCTGGTGCCAATAGGCTTACGAGGAGCTGTTTTGGCGGCGGCATATTAAATGTGTTCGACAAGTCAGGAGAGACAACTACGATGCCCTGAGGTCAGTGCTGTTTCAGATCTTCAACCGGGGCCTCGCTTTCCCATCCTGGATGAAAGAAAAAGATATTGTGAAGGTACGTTAGGTCCTCATGCTGGAAATATGGCAGAAGTCATGCTGATGGGAACTGCAACACCGAGTCCGGGGTCTTCTGAGGGTGGTTTTGTATTGTACATATGGTGTCAGGAGATGGAAGGTCCTGTAGCTCAGTCCTCTGTCTCTCATGCCAGTTTGCAAATAAATCATCTCAGATAGTCGTACTCAATTTTGTTTTTAATGCCAGCATCTTTTCTTGAGAAGGGCGTCTGTCTTTTGTAAGTGAAGTGGTCCTTTAATCCACTTTTCTGCTCTGGCTATTTGAGCATTGACAAGCATAGTGTGTAAGCTCCATCCCAAAGATGCCCTCATATCCCTTTTTTGCCAATCCGTCTCTCAGCCCAGGCATCCACTGATACGTTTTCTGTTCCTTTAGTTTTGCCTTTTCCAGAATGTCAGAGAAATGGAATGATCCATTGTGTAGACTTTTGAATCTGCCCCTTTCACTTAGCATAATGCATTTGCAGATCATCTGTGTTGTTCCATGGATTTGTAGTTCAGTGCTTTTATTGTTGAGTGGTGTTCCTTCATATGAGTAGAAGACATCTTGTTTACCCAGTCATGCACAAGTTGAAGGATATGTGGAGTGCTTCCAGCTTGAATAAGGCTGTTACAAATATTCCCATTCAGGATTTTGTATGAACTTATGTTTTCATTCCTTTTGGGTAAATACCTAGGAATGAGATTGCTGGGTCTCATGATAGGTTTTTCTTTAACTTTATAAGAACCTGCCAAGTCTTTTCTTAAGTGACTCTGCCATTTTGCCTTCCCACCAATAACATGTGAGTTCCAATTCTGCTACATTCTCAGGTTTTTTGTTTGCTTTTTAGCCCTTCTAATAAGGGTGCATTTGTATCACTGCTTTTGGTTTGCATTCCTCTAAGAGGTAATGATTTTGAGCACCTTTTCAGGTGCTTATTTGCCCCCCACATTACCTCCTTGGAGAAGTCTCAGTTTAAATCCTTCACCCAAATTTGTAAATTGAGTTTTGAGGGTTCTTTATTTTTCTGAGTAAAAGTGCTTTATCAGATATGTCATTTGCAAAGATTTTCTCCCAGCCAGTACCTTGTCTTTTTTTTTTCATTTTCTTGGCAGTGCCAGGAAATATATTCTTGATGAATAACCTTAATTTTTATTTGAATGTAATATGCCTGTTACATAAGTGTGAGCAAACTCTAGGAGACAGTGATGGACAGGGAAGTCTGGCGTGCTGCAGTCCATGGGGTCACAAAGAGTCGGACATGACTTAGCGACTAAACAACAACAATGATATGCCTAACCACGGATGCACATTTAAGGATGGAGAAGCAAAGAAATATAAAGTATGTGCATATATATATCTCCACATGGTCTGTTTCCTTAGCATCTTTTATTTAGAGTTGTTTTATTGGTAGTTTAGTTTAATGTAGCAGTTGTCAAGTGTATGCTGTGTGCCAGCCCTGTTGCTGAGGACAGAGAACATAGCCGAGACCCTGGGCTCCACAAGCTCAGAGGAGTGGAAGATGGATCAGATATGCACAATGGATCAGATTCTTATGCATTCCATGATCATATTTAATCCAACAAGAGTCCTGAAAAATGGATAAGATTGCCCTTCATTTACAGTGGAGGATGCGCTAAGAGGTAACATAACTAGTGCTGGTTGAGTAACCTTTCAACAGACCAGTGAAGAGCTAGGTTTGAACCACAGAAAGCATCCTTCTATAATCCATGTGTTCCCTGATATATTGGGTTGGCCAATTACTCTAATGCTGTTTGGTTAAACATAACTTCTAAATGGATATACCTAGGAAGTCTGGAAAGTGTTTTATGTAAAAAGATTGTTTCTGTAGACATAGTGTTCATTCACATTTTCATCTGTTGTGAAACTGTGAATCAAGAAGGTGATCCAAATCAATCCACAAATCTAAAAAGAGACTATGTTTTACTTAACTGCCATTACAATCTTTTACACTGAAGACTTTTGAATGAGATAAGATTACCCGCTGTGCCATATTCCGAGCTGTGTGTCCGACACGCTGAGATACTGACCACTCTTGGCATCTACTTCCTTTTCAAGCTTCCTGAAAAACTGCTCTTTTCGCAAGGTTGTAATTGGATCCAGCAGTACAGTTTTGGTCCTGAGAAGTATACAGGTTCCAATGTGTTTGGAAAATTACGCAAATGTGTGGAATTACTGAAAACACAGGTGAGTATCCAGGGGAAAAAGATGAGGAATAAGAGTGTGCATCCCACACGCAGCCGCTTGCCTCCCGTGTCAGGCATGTCACTCTGTGTCCTGTGAGAAGGAAGTGCAGGCAGAAACACTTGTCTAGTAACTGACCATTTCCTTTCCTGCTCTTTGTTCTCCTCCCAAGTAATGATCGAGAGCAATGTTGTTCTACACAGTTGTTGGGCCAGTTTTGGCTAACTAGCCAGCCAAACTTAATGATCACATACTTTTGTTTTTCTAGAAAAATGTGGTGTGAGGTCCAGACAAGACACTGGGACATGCCCTTTGGAATGCACCCTGTTAGTAACTCGGGGACAGCACAGATGTTATCATTTGACTAAAGAGTTTTTCCTGCCTTTTACTAGACACAGATTTTAGATGTTGAAATGAATCCTCCTTGGGAAATGCCGTTTCAGTGCCACAGCTTTCTGATCTGTAAAACTAAAAAAATAAGTAGTCTCAACTCTGTACCATTATTATGAGGATTTAATGAGCAAATACCCATAGATTGCTTTATACTCCACCCTGGCACACAGCTAGTAGTGAAGAATGCTAATTAGTACTCTTTGTCACTGGACTATCCTTTGTGTAATCTGACATCCTTAGAAGTAGCTTTAGGAGGCTGACTTCTTTAGTATTCTACCTAGTAGACAGTGTATTTTTGAAAAAATATCTAAACTACTTTGTTGTTGTAAAAGTAATCAATACTTAGAGTTACAACAATTAATGTCAAAAAATATAAAATAAAAAGTTAATGGGTCCCCTCATTAATCCCTGGTTTGTTTTACAAGTACTTTAAAGATTATGCAATGGTGTATGTATTGACCTTCCTCTTCTAAGTTTCACTTAACATCTGTGTTTTTAGTGGACTGAATTTAGTGGGATTAAAGATTATCACAAGAGAGGAAGTATGTGCAACGTCCTTTTTTCTGATGCTCTCCTGGAATATAAACTTTATGAAGCCCTGAAATTCATCATGCTGTATCAAGTCACTGAGGTTTATGAACAAATGAAGACCAAAAAGGTCATCCCCAGTCTTTTTCGACTCCTGTTTACCCGGGAAACCTCATCTGACCCCTTGAGCTTCATGATGAATCACCTGAATTCTGTCGGCGACACGTGTGGACTGGAGCAGGTAATTGGGGCAGAAGAATCGTGTGTCTGATGAAGGACAATGTTGGCAATACTTTAGCATGTAGGTGATTGCAGTTTACTGTCAGCAGTGATAAAACCAGCTGCAAAGAGTGGCGTGCATGCTGAGTCTCTTTAGTCATGTCCGACTCTGTGCGACCCCATGCACTGTGGCCCACCAGGCTCCTCTGTCCATGGAATTCTCCAGGCAAGAATCCTGGAGAGGGTTGCCATTGCCTCCTCCGGGGGATCTTCCTGGACCAGGGATCGAACCTGGGTCTCCTGCCTTGGCAGGCAGATTCTTTATCACTGAGCCACCCGGGGAGCCCGCAGAGAGGTGGTGGCTGGGTATTACTGCCCTCCAGTCAGGAAGAGTGATACAAGCCTGCCTGCCCCACACTGGCTGCTGTGTCTTCGCAGCTCGGTGGCCAGCCAGCAGCAGTGCCGGGCGCCTGTCTGACCTTCATGCTGCCTCTCAGGTGGGAACAGGCTCTCCCACTACAGAGGTTACCTGGCAAGAAGTCCAGCTGTGAACTGAGGTTAACATTTGGAAAGCATGTGGTTATTTAGCGCAGGTAAACAGAAGTTATTGAAACTTTAAAAGTCCAGACAATGCTTTTCTATGTGCATAGCAAAGGGGCTTTGTTTTGCTTTGCTCTCCTAGGAGGTACTCAAAATTACCTGACATTTTAATAAAAATTAATTCATTTAAAATGATTTTTTAAAAAAGTTGGAAAACGGGATAACTCTTATTGCAAACATTCCTTTATATTTTTTCCAAACAGCTTGCTCTGTGATCCCCCTACAGAGACCTTTCTCTGTTTGTCTCCTGCCTTCCACGCAGACGTCGTCCATGTCTGTCCCCAATTCCACACCCACTCACGGTTCACGTGCGGGTCTGGCCACGAGCCCATCATCTCACAAGCTGCAGACCACTCTCCCTCCACTGGAGGGGGGAGGTGGGCATTTGGGAATGTGCATCCGTGACCTTTCTTTCATCTCCCCACAGATTGATATGTTTATACTCGGATACTCCCTGGAAGTAAAGATAAAAGTGTTCAGACTGTTCAAGTTTAACTCCAGAGACTTTGAAGTCTGCTATCCAGAGGAGTCGCTCAGGGAGTGGCCGGAGATCTCCCTGCTGACCGAGAACGACCGCCACTACCACATTCCTGTCTTTTAAGTCAGGCTGGACTGGGCTACAGCTCTCGCCAGTGACAGAAGTCACCCTTGCAAGTAGTGTTTCTAGAAAACCAAAGCTGGCATTGCTGCCGTGGAAGCACTCGGGACCTCCCTCTCCAAGAGCGCAGGTGCCCTGGACAGGGGACCCCGAGGTGCCTTCCCTTTGTTCGCAATGGTTTCCTCCAGCGCAGCTGCACTGATGGGTTTGTGGGTTGGTGGTCTGACCTTGTTTGTGAAGACTCTGGTCACTTCACACACAAGAGGGCACAAGGACATTTAGTTTGAACAAGAACAACAACAGGAAACAAGTGAGAAGAAAACAAGTATGGGAAAAGGACTAAAGGGAAAGAATTTCTTTGGCTGTAACCTTTTATGTTCTTCATTAGGAATCTTGTCTTTGACTGACTTGGGATCTTCATAAGCATGGCCTTATTTTATAAGTATTACCTTCCCAGGAATCTCTGTGGTATATTGATTTTCCAGAACCCTTTGATTAACTTTAAAATTGTTTGTGTGTGTGTTTATACTCACATGCACGTATACATGTATAGTTTTATATATATATATCTAAACACATACATATGCATAGCCACTACTTTGTAATGTTGTACAGTTTGTTTTATATCTTTTTACTTTTTTTTTCAACTGTTGCATCTGGCCAGTTTAATATGTTTTATATAGACAGATATAATCTTATTCTACAGATTAAGGCAACTGAATGACAATTATTGAACTGTCACAAAAATATTAAACTGGTGTATTTAATGTGTATTTACATGTGTATTAATGTGTGTAGGTAGAAATCATGCCCACCCCTGCCCCAGTATCTGTATTCTAATCCCTGGAACCTGTGAATAGGTTGGGTTAAACAGCAAAGGAGAATAAGGTTGCAGGTGGAACTAAGGTACTAATCCACTAACTTTGAAATAGAGAGAGTGGTCTGGGTTCTACAGGTGGGCCCAGCATAGTCACAAGTGTCCTTAAAGTAGAAGAGGGGACTTGGGAGAGGATCAGTCAGGGGGAGATGGGAGGGAGCGGCGAACAGTAAGAGAGACAGAGGCGAGGCAGCTGGTTTTGGTCATTGCAGCAGCTACAAAGAGGATGTTAATGCAGTTACATGACGGAGCCACAAGCCGACGACCGTGGGCGGCCTCTGGAAGCTCGAAAAGGCCAGAGAACACGTCCTCCCCTAGAGCCTCAGGCAGCAACGAGGGCCTGCCAACACTTTGATTTTAGCCCTGTGGGACCCGTGTTAGGCCTCCAACCTAGATAAACGTGTTGCTTAAGTTGCTAAGTTTGCGGTTCGTGTTACAGCAACCGTAGACAGCTAACATATTCAGGCTCACTACCTCCTGGTCGTCTCTATTTTGGAAATACTTTTCCAGTTTATTTTGGCAGTCTTGATTTTGGAGGTACTTTGCTAGTCCTGTTTTATATTTTGGCAAATACATAGTAACTTTTTTTTTTTTTTTTTAGAAAGTAACTTTTAAAACCCTGGCTAATGGGATACTATTTCAAAGTTACAAACCCCTTCTAAGAATGACTGACTTATAAACATGTTTGATGCTAATGTTTTCTCATGTTTCCATATGTTTACTGTAAATGAAAAGGAGGTATGTTAAATGCTGCAGTCTATGAAACCAACGTTTAGATTCTTCTGTAATGGGGACACTCTCCTGCATGCACCACATAAGCCGGTGTTGGGCTTGCTGATATTTTGTTCTCTGGGTGAAGAGCTGAAGAGTATCCGGCTCAGACCCAGGGGCTTTGTGATACCTTGAGAGCCTCACAAAGCAGGATCTCTACAGCCTTTCTTAATCTCTACAGCCCTTGCCTGCACCTATGGTTTTTCATAATCCCTGGGCTTCCCTGGTGTCTCAGCCGGTAAAAGAACCTGCCAGCAATGCAGGAGACCTGGGTTTGATCCCTGGGTTGGGAGGACCCCCTGGAGGAGGGCATGGCAACCCGCTCTAGTATTCTTGCCTGGAGAACCGCATGGAGAGGAGCCTGGCGGGCTACAGTCCATGGGGCCACACAGAGTCTGACAGGACTGAAGCAACTTAGCACGGCACGGGCAGCTTATAAGTCTTTCCATGTTATCAACCCATGATGCTTATGCTTAACCGTGCTGGGGGATGGGGCAGGCTGGGAAAAGAATTCTTTAAATAAAGGGGCAAGACCAAATTGTGGAAAACATTTGAATATGATAATAATGAAAGTAAAAAATAAGACTCTTCAGTAGTTGCTGCATTTGAGGAAAACATTGAAATAGAAGATTTTAGGGGACGAGGTACTGTGCATTTTTAATTCAGTTGTATGATGAATTAATTAGAAGGAACTACATATAAATTAGCACCATTTTTAAATGCCAGACGGGTTTGATCCCTGGGTCAGGAAGAGCCCCTGGAGAAGGAAATGGCAACCCTGCAGTATTCTTGTCTGGGAAATCCCATGGACGGAGGAGCCTACAGTCCATGGGGTCACAGAAGAGTCAGACATGACTTAAAGGCTAAACAGCAACAACAGCTTATTTAAACATGGGATGTGTTCTAAGAGGCATTCCTGAAGTACAGAAATATTGTTTCCACTGAAATAGCCTTTTTGTAAGCAAAGAATATTTCTTGCTTCTAACTTATAAAACCTCAGATGGAACATCTAGACAGAACCAAATACAGGTTGGTAATTAAAACTATCATTATCACATTTTACTGTTTGTTGGGGTCTTTTAATGGACCGGAACCTGGTGGTCCTGAGTCGACAATAAGAAAGTGAAAGAAGGAAAGAGGCTAATATTCCCTGGGTTACACAGCTGGCCTCCGCATTCCAGGGAATCAGCCAGAAAGAGGGAAAGAAGGACATGGGGACCCAAGTCTCTGGTGGAACAAGGGTGCTTTATTGAATTCTGTGTGAGTATATATACCACATTACAAGGTAGCTTCTTCAGATAAAGATCAAAAGACCAGACTTTACAAGTTACCAAGGAAACAAGGAGCAATAGAGGCCATAAGGCCAAAAGGCGATCCATAGCAAAAGAGGGTATGGAAAAGCTAATGGAGGAGATCCTATGCGAGCATCCCATGTCTATGATCTCAGGTCTGGGAGTGGCTTGCCACTCTCGCTCCTAACAGGAACTCATAAGGAACAGAGGGCTCAAGAGAGATAGGAAACAGCACACAGGAATCCTACTGTTAAACATTCCCCGACGACTGTTCTGTTTTGCTCACCCTTGAGTTTGGAAAGGTGGAGTGAAGGTCAAACCAGTGACGCTAGAGGGCTTCATGGACAGCACACAGCTTGACTCCATTGCTCCTTAGCATACATCAACACGTCTACATGGACAAACCCGGAAGCTTGAGACTTCGCTGGCCCCATGTTTTGTTATCACCATCATCCCCAAAGACAGAATCTGGGAAACAACTGGGGAACCTCCTCATGTACCTGCCAGTCTCAGCTTGTGGCCACCTCTTAGCATGTCCACGGACTTCCTTTGGGTGCTGGCCTCTCTGTTGGACCAGCTTTGTGGGAAGGGCCCCGGGGCTCGGTGATGAGAAGGAGTTGGTGCAAACTGACAATGGGGCTGGAAACCTACAAAGCTGCACAAATATTCTGGAACTTTCAGTGTGTGAATCTAAGGAGACACATTTATGACTTACTCTGAAGATCCTCTGGAGGAGGAAATGGCAACCCACTCCAGTATTCTTGCCTGGAAAATCCCATGGACAGAGGAGCCTGGCGGACTACAGTCCATGGGGTCACAAGAGTTTGACATGACTGAGCACACACACTGTATCACACTATAAATTAAAAAAAACAGAGATGAGGTGATACTTGGTGAAAATGTTATAAAATATTCATGTCTTACAGCTAAATAAAAAAGATAAATATGTGTTTCTCTTATCAGGAGCTAGCCTTAGGTGTAATTAAGCATGATTAAAGGAAAAGGTCAGCACCGGTGTATATTTGACCTAGGTTTAATACATTAGTCATAAAACAGTAAATGAGAAATTTTCCCACCTGGTGTATATTTCATGGGGTAAGAGTGGACACTTCAGTCTGCTTGTGAGACCAGTCGTGTTATTAGTTGCGTTTTTGGTTGTCCCTCCTGAGTCCCTGGCTTCATGCAAGCACGCCGAAGACCCTCCATGCACTGAACAGGAAGAGGAAATGTCGCATGATTCTCTCTTTAAAGCAGGAAGTAAAGTGCCCTTTTCCCTTTGAACATTGTGGCAGAGCAGTGCTTGTAAAGCTATCTGTGGTGAGCGTGGTGATGGACCCGTTTTTTGAATGTCCAATTCTTGGCATATGGGCACTTTTGTAAAAGTAAAATGTTGCACTGAGGTCAGATTGCGATGAGTTTCTAAACACTTACTCTCAGTTCGTGTACACTTTCTTGCAGACAAGCAGAAAGAGTTTGCAAATGTGGCACTGGTCTGTAACGCACACTGAAACATGAGTGTCAGGCAAGATTCAATATATCCCGATGTTATTTCTCTGGGAGTTTGGGGTTTTGCCAGAATGAGAGGGCAGTGCTTTTGTTTTGTTTTGCTATTGGGCCAACCAAGGCCACTGTGTGGAGTTGTCCAGTGTGTGCCTTGCTCAGGATGCCTGACTGAAGACGTGCGCGGGGGCTGGGGTCTCTCTTCTGAGGCATGACCCTCTGCTTGGCAGAACTCCTTGGATCAATCATCAGACAGTCCCAGTTACATTTGCTGCTTTTTGAGAAGGCTTCCATAGGTTTCTATGTTCTCTCAGCAGAAATCAGCAAGAACCTCCTTTTGATTTCAGTTCTTTATGCTTAACAAGAATCTTCACATTTATCTCTTTACTGGATTTCAAGTTCCTGTGGGAAGGAGTGTGGGTCTTACATCACCGTGACTTGACCAGTGCTCACACTAATAGCAAATAAATTCCAAGTCACTAGTTGATAATGAAAGCCATGTGCAGCTGTTGACCTTCTTAAAGAAGCAAAGAATCTCATAGTGTGATGATTTCCTTCCTTTT